CTGCATTTCCTCTCGTTCGTTTTTTTCGACTAAACAACATTATTTTGTTAAATAACAACATGGTGATGTTTTGTAAATGATTATATGTCTTATTTAGCACAGACTATGATCCTATCCGTGACATATGGATCTTAACAAAGATCCGCTATACATTAGTACCAGACATACTGTACATCCAGCTTACTGTATCGAAGTTGATTTCACATGAGCTCCAGTGTGGAACCCCACTGCACCCCCTGGTGGATCAATGATCCATTGCAGCTGGCTTCACAATAATTACATTTATTTATCACGGGGGCGGTATCAAGTCAGACTGGGGGCCGGCTCTTCATCATGAACCGATCACGGGCCAATCACGGACCGTGCACGAGCCAATCACGACCCTCGCGTTTCAAACTGTCTGAAATAAGATGCTCCATCTGTACTTTTACCTTTACAATCGTTTGCTTTAATATGCAGTATATTTGTTGTATATTTTTGTGTTTGCTTCCTCCTTCTCCCTTTCGGACACATACTGTATGATTTATTATTATTATTAATATGAAGATATTATTAAGATAAGATAAGATAAGATGTTACTTTATTGATTGAACATTTTAGTTTAGAATGTGCTATCCCACGGTAATTCAGAAGGCTCACAGGTCACATTCCGACCATTATTTAAAACAATAGGTGCTTTCATAATAATGATGAGAAACTATGAAATAAGAAATGAATCAAATTCAAATGTAATTATCATATCATATATTATATAGTGTATTGTATTATTAAGTAATATCATACATTAACCCCATTATAGCAGATGCCACATTGAACGGATTAACACATTTATGCATTAATAATTACAACAGAGTATTTCTAAATACAAGTTGTAAAAATACTTATATGTATTTAATACTAATAACATAATGATTCATTTTACTTTCAGATGATAATACTTTTCAGGGTTAGGGTTAGGTCCGGTCTGACAGCGCTTAGCTCTCTGCTGCAGAGAGGAAGAGAATTCACTGCTTTAAACAAAGTCAAAAATCAACATACAGTAGGGGGGTGGGGGATGGTGAACGGTATGGTCAATGTTTGTAAACACAATCCCCAGGATGTGGGACACTGAAAAGTCTATTTTAAAAAGCCTCAGTCACCTTAATTGATTTGATTTGATGCTCATACTTTTACCTTTACAATCGTTTGCTTTAATATTATTTCTAATTACAAGTTGTAAAAATACTTATATGTATTTAATACTAATAACATAATGATTAATTTTACTTTCAGATGATAATACTTTTCAGGGTTAGGGTTAGGTCCGGTCTGACAGCACTTAGCTCTCTGCTGCAGAGAGGAAGAAAAGATCACTGCTCTAAACAAAGTCAAAAATCATACATCCAAACTAGGGCTGTCAAGTTAACGCGTTAATAACGCGTTAATAACGCGTTAAGAACGCGTTAAGAACGCGTTAAGTTAACGCAAAAAAAAATTAACGCCACTAATTATTTTAACGCGATTAACGCATGTGTATTTTTTGTCCTCGGCCGCCCCGTAGTTTCAGAGCGCATCGAGTTTAAAATACCATCTACAAGCTGATGCTGAGTGCTGACAGCTCCTGCTGCCCGCTTGTGGCAGACCACACTTCCACGCTCAGCGGCAGGCCTGGACTGGCCATCGGGAGGACCGGGAGGGTGTGTGTATGTGTGGCAATACAGTCTATGTGCGCGAGCGAGGCACACCTTACGTGTTGTTGTTGTTGTTGTTGTTGTTGTTGTTAGCATCTGGTGCTAGCTAGCTGCGCTAACGGATATAAGGAGCTGTTTCAATGAAAACAGAGGAGCGACATTTCGCCGACAACTGCGCCGAGCACTTGACTTTATGCAGGTAGCAGTGGGACAGTGGGACATTGTACGAAAAGTCAGCACACTCAGCACGGATAGTGTGCGCAACATGATTGCAGCGTCCAGGCAGCTCCCGTTCGAGCATATATGCCTTGAGCTGCACATAGCTTCAACGATCCATCACAGTGTCTCCACATTCTCACGCACGCACGCACGCACGCACGCACGCACGCACGCACGCACGCACGCACGCACGCACGCACGCACGCACGCACGCACACACACACACACACACACACACACACACACACACACACACTCACTTTGTATTGTATTATTGTATGAGAGAGGTTCCAGGTTGAATTGAGGCGAATATTTGTAATGTTCAGAGGTTGTTGTGTTTAATATTCATGAGAATATTTGTCATTTAGAACAGATACAAAATGTGTGATTAATTTGCGATTAATCGCGATTAACTATGGACAATCATGCGATTAATCGCGATTAAATATTTTAATCGACTGACAGCCCTAATCCAAACGGAATAAATATAATTAATTATTATTAATACGTTAAGTCTTGTTCATTATTTTTCACTTTTATTAAATGTTTGATATTTCCGGCACAGACCCTTTCATACCGGCAATGCGCGATAGAAACAACAGGAACTGCGACAGCATAAATATGTGAACACAAACCTACAGACTGCTGGAGAAGAGATATCACAGGGGTGGTTGGGACACACACATTCCGATGGCCAATTAGTTTTAAACAAAGAGTATACTCAACATAGGGGGTGGGGGCTGGTGAACGGTATGGTCAATGTTTGTAAACACTGTGACATTTTGACTTTATTTGATCATTTCAGTTAAAAACTAACGTTCATATTTCTCTTCTCAAAAAGAGATTGCAGCCAATATGTTAGTGGCTGACCCAGCCCCATGGTCTGTCACAGTAGTGCGGGAAAGAGAAGTGCACTGTTTTGCCTGGCTGGACCTGTAATTTACAGGAAAGGAGTGCGCGCTACTAAAGAGACGCGCTACCATGGAAACCAAACAATGGTGTAGCTGCATTGAAGTCCGAGTGGAAACAGTAATATTTGGAGCGTTATGTTAGAATGAAACAGCGAGGTCGTGACTCACAAAAAAAAAGTGTTACTTCACTAACTGTAAGCTTGTCACTCAGAGTAACCTACAGTTAACTTAACTGCTGGAGAAGAAAGATCAGGGGGGGGAGAGAGCTGTGGCTGATGGGCCATTAGGTGTATAAACACACAGTTGAGAGCTGCCGTTTCATTCAGATTGTTTAAAAAACGGTAACAACGGACTATTTTTCTTAGCGTATGCATGTCAATTTAAATCAATACATACAGCTATTTTTTAAATCAATAAAAACATTTTCTAACTCCATAAAAGCATTTCAATTAATATTGGGAGTCATGTCGTGACTTTGTTGAGAATGTGGCCATGTAATAAGCGGGATAATTTGCAGCGACTTGGGATCCTGATCTGCCTGACAAGGCTCCATTAAAATATAAATATGTTTAGTGAATTACTGAGTTTAGGCACGTTAATAACGTTTTAATGAAGTTGAATACAGTATATTCATATTTGTCAGTGATTTCATGTCAATTCGGCGAACATAAACATAAATGATCGTGGTGAAGATGATGATTAAATTAGGATTAAAAATCGAGAGCCGGCTGCATTTTCTCTCGTTCGTTTTTTTTCGACTAAACAACATTATTTTGTTAAATAACAACATGGTGATGTTTTGTAAATGATTACATGTCTCTTATTTAGCACAGACTATGATCCTATCCGTGACATATGGATCTTAACAAAGATCCGCTATACAGTAGTACCAGACATACTGTACATCAAGCTTACTGTATCGAAGTTGATTTCACATGAGCTCCAGTGTGGAACCCCACTGCACCCCCTGGTGGATCAATGATCCATTGCAGCTGGCTTCATTATAATTACATTTATTTATCACGGGGGCGGTCTCAAGTCAGACTGGAGGTTGTCTCTTGATCGCGGGCAGACCCCGTGCCGACCACGGCCCTCGCGTTTCAAACTGTCCTAAATGAGCTGCTACATCTGTATCTCTGGCCCCCCTCGTTCGATTTTGATGATTGACATCTCTTTTTAACCGCTAGAGCCAATGGAATCGAGGGGAAGTTCCACATACACACACACGTTACCAAATAAGGAGAGTGATGCGTAGCCAAAACCGGAAGCTGCAATACACTCTGGTGTACCATTAGCAGCTAATATTTATTCTCTGATTTTTACATAAAAATGGAATTATGGATTATGTGTTGTGATGTCTGTGTTTGCTTCCCCTATCGCGAGTTCGCATCGCTCAGTGATGATACTAATACCTATATAATCTGTGGAATCTCAGCTTTAATCGGATATATTGTATGTGCAGTTACGATAAGTAATAAGGGTATCTTTACCTTGTGTTCTGTGCCAAGTGCGTTAGCATTTTTTTGCTCAGGGGTCATTTAGACGCTTCTTATGAGACTTGTGTTTTGTTTTGGTAAAAATGGTTCGTATCGTCAGTTAGCTGAATTTCTTCCCGTTAATCTGGTATGACACATTAATAGGTTTTTAAATATTAAGAAGCCCTGAGACACAGTTTCGTGATAAAAACTACCCGCCAGACCCGGATTAGGGTCCTCTCGGGTTTAACAGGTTTTAATCTGGGCACTGGATATGATGACTTGATGTCTGAAACACCTGAAATCACACCTGACTGCAGGAGAGGGGAGAGCAGATTTAAAGTTTGACTGCTGCACTATGATTGGCTGCTGGAAATTGTGGTAAAACGTAATTAAAAGTGGACGCCCATAATTAGCTGATTATATGCAGTAGGATGAACACTACGGATGATGAAAAATGTTTTACTTTAATGATGATTTTTAACGATAAACCAACCATTCAGCGTGTTTGTTCATGTTTTTACACACATTGTGGCTTTAAGGATGGCAATGTTGAGCTGTCAGTCAGCCATTTTCATACTGTAAATGTTTACAAGTTAATGCATTGTTTGCAAAACCACAGAGTTCTTCATTTTAACTATGTTTACAGTCTCTTGTGTGTTGTAACTGTTAAGAGGAAGGAAGCAAGGGCAGTTTTGAACACGTTGACCTCTTTTTAACACAGCTGTACGAGTGACAGAGAAAACCCCCTGCTCGATGTACAAACGTTTTTTGGTGACTCACTGACAAACAGTATTTCTCCTGCATTTGATCGACCTGATGGTTTATCAGAGACGTGAGGAGCAGCTATGAGTCTACCAGCAGCAGCGAGAGGATTTGTCGTCTTCCTTCTCGTTGTACAAGGTACTGTACATCTACATTTATATTGTAAGATAGTTGATGCAGCTCAGAAATACAGAGTGTTTGCACCATTTGGCATGGTAAAACTATGTCTGTGTTGATGGAAATAATGACTGTAAATATTACAAAACAACACTTTTTTAAATTTAAATCATTGTTAATTAAAATTAATCGCTCTGTTGAACTTCCTCTTTCCTCCTGCAGTCCTCACCACTTAACTTTAGCAAGTGTTTCTCAGCATTATACATTCAGCAGCTGTATTTGATAATGTAATTAATATAAGAAACTTACGGTAGGAGTTGCAACGTGGATAAAAAGTCACTAATGAATAATCATCTGACTTCAATCTGCCTGCGCCCATCAACGGATCGCTCTTTCTCACTTTATGGCGGCCACAGTGTTGGCCCTAGGAGGCCGACATTTTGCATGAAAGTCAAGTGTGTGTGAAGGTGTGTGTATGTGAATGCATGAACGTCTGTTTGCATGCATGTACATGATCATAGCTTTTGCATTTTCTTCATTTTTTGCTTCCATTGGACGGTGAAAAGTGTAAAGACTTACTGGAAACAGGAAGAGAGATCTGGGTATGACATGCAACAAAGGCACCGGGGCGATCACAGTAACAAGTTAGCGCAGTTACTCCCTATCAACGCTGCTATATGCAGCTTTCTTCAATGATAAGACCTCTCAAAACTCTACACTTCAGGCATCACCAACATAAGGATAGACAAACTTACTGCAGCATGAAGATGGTGACATAGTAGTATTTATCTGACAAAACAAGACCGAACATTGGATTTATGTTAGGATTCATTTAGAAACATGACTTTACATAGTTTAAGAATAGTTTTTATTCTTAAACTATGAATGTTGTTAATGCTGTGTATGTAATTTATTATATGTAATGCCTTGTCTTTTATCTGGACCCTGAGTCTGTAATAAAGTTTTCATTCATTTACATAAATACTCATGTGGTTTAGTGGATATTGTAGCTTTTATAAATATCTAATTTCTGCAGAGAAGTCAGATGCTTTCTTTCACCTGACAATGAGGAGACCTAGGTGCAACATGCAACATTTGTGTCGACTTTTGCAAGCAATTAGCAGTCCAATACTTAGAAATAACCTCTCTGTCAGTCATTTGTTATCTTAATATCACACGCCTCAATGTTCTGCTTTTCTTTGAAGTTTCCATTCACGCCCTGCAGCAGCCTGATCACTGAGAGAAAAGCAAGCCAGGAAAGAAGACTCTTTGTTCTGATCCACACCCTCTAATATGTTATTCTCATATTTTTCTAAGGTTCAAAATCTAAGTATTTATCTAAGTATTTATCAAGTAAATACTGCGTTAAAGGTTAAATACACTGCAGCATGATGTCCAACGTCAACATTATATATGTTTTTGTTGTCTCTGTTCACTGGAAACAATGTTACAACTTTTATAGTATAAACCCAGTTAGAAACAAACATCAGAACATTCCCGTCTATGTAAATTAATATAATATGAAATAGTAAAAAGATGTGTTTGATGAAGCTAAGAAAGTCTAATGAGTCTGATGAATGTTTCTGATGTGCTCTGTGTTACAGTGGTTCAGGGTCTGGATGACTGGGGAGTGACTTACTCTTCTACTGAGATCTGTGCCGTGAAAGGATCAACAGTGGAGATAAGATGCAGCTACACATACCCATCGACATGGAGAGGCAGTGTTAACACAGTGGAGAAAACATTGTGGTTCACTAAATGGAAAGGTGGTAAACCTGTAGATTTGACCACAGAGTCAGAGTATTCAGGTCGTGTAGAGGATCTCTGTGAAAACAACATCTGCACTCTGAGAATCAGAAAACTGAGAGAGAGCGACTCAGCTCAGTACAAGTTCAGGATCATAACAAACCAAGCCGTTTATGCTAGTGAACCAGTCACTCTGTCTGTCACAGGTAACACTTTGTTTGTAACTTTGTAAGTTAGCTCAACATTTGGTCACACTGCAGTGAATGTCAGTGCATCTACTACACATACAATGACAGTTCAGTTTAACATGTTTGTTCCTTACAAATCCAGGTCTCCAGGTGAAGGTGAGCAACATATATCGCTACACAGGCTATATATGGGCAAACCTGGAGTGTCTGAGCAGTTGTCCTCCAACTTCTCGTCCTTCCTACATCTGGTACAAGAATGGACTGAAATCGCCAAAACAAGGAGATTCTTTTAATGACTATTTCTATCCTAAAGAAAGCTATGCCTGTGCTGTTAAAGGATATGAGAATTCCCCCTCTCCTTCAGTGTGTGAGTTCACTTACAGTCTTCCACCAACATGATGCTATACCTTATTACATAAAAGGGAGACACTGTCCACATCAATACATTCAGCCTTGAGTTAAGGCAATTACATTTTCATAATAATTAACCAAAGATATTTCATTTTTCAGGTGTTAATGGTCAAGACTGCAATACAGTGGCTTACAGTGAAAGAAGCATCTGTGCCCCCAAAGGATCCTCAGTGGACATTTCCTGCACGCACAGCAGTTATGAATATAATGTTCAATCTAAATTCTGGTTCAGTCCTGAGCGTAGTCATCAGTGGAAGAATCCCTCTCAACCTGAGGACCTTAGTGAAGACACCCAGTATGCAGGTCATGCTCAGATCCTTGAAACATGGAGAGGACGCTCCACTCTGAGGATCTCTGACCTGAGAGACTCAGATTCAGCTCAGTATCTCTTCAAATTCAAAACACAAAACTTTGAATGGAGGAGTGATTTACCTGGAACAACTCTGACTGTCACAGGTACTGAGCAACACACACTGATGTATTATGTATACACCAACACATTACAATTAGAAAATACTGGAAGTTGAGTTTGTGTTATTACTGTTGGATGAGTTAAAACATTTGTTCACCTACTTTAGAATGTTGTGTTAATGGGTATATACATTTATCATCAGTTTAATTTTAGACCATGCTATATAATATTGTTTATTTTTCTCATATCCAGCTCTGCAGGTGCAGGTGATCAGAGCAACAGTCCAGCAGTCTAATACCTATGCAGAGCTGAAGTGTCACAGCAGCTGCAGTCCAGCTGGTGTTTCCTACGTCTGGTTCAAGAACCGAGAGAAAATCCCCAAAACAACGAGATCTTCATATAAAGACTGGTTTCAACACAGAGACATGATCTCTTGTGCCCTGGAAGGTCATGAAGTCTTCCCCTCTCCTGCAGTGTGTGAGTTTACTCATACACACACACACTGACATTACAATGACAATTTCAGAGGATTCTTCTGAATCTGAATGCAGATGCCGCAGTTATATATATCGAAAAAGAAAGCTTAACTACAGCCAGTAAATAAGCCATCTTAGATAAAGAGACATACAGAAGACATAGATTTCGGTGGAGACCTCATTTTAAATAAAGAAGAGTTACAAACAAAACTAAATATCAATAATAACAGAAAATCATTCAGGCACCAAGATACCCCACAAAGAAAGATATTACAAATGAGGTCATTCAAGGTTGCAGGTCCAAGATGAGAACATTTTGATTTTTGCAAGCTCAGTAAAAACAGCCAGCACCTGCAACGTAATGTAATCTTGATGAGAGCCCACAAGATAATTTAAGGAGGTGAAATAATAAAAGCAGCAGCTATGAGTTGAACTGCAGTGGATTTGTTGTCTTCCTCCTCTCTGTGAGACGTACTGTATCTACATTTATATTGTAAGATAGTTTAAACACTTTAGAAATACAGCACCATTTAGCATGGTAACACTATGTCTGTATGGATAGAAATAATGACTGTACATACAGTACCTACATTAACAAACAACTCATGCTTTACATAATTGCCAATTCATCGCTGTGTTGAACTTCCTCTATCGTCCTGCAGTCCTCAACATAACTTTAAATACATGTTGTTCAGTTGCTGTCGTAGCTTTGATAAATATCTAGACATTTCTGCAGAGATGATGCTTTCTTTCTGTCAATGAGGAGAGATATAGCAGGTGCAACATACAGGAAGTAATCGATGTTTTTGTCGACTTTTGAAAGCAATTAGAAGTCCAATATTTAAAAATAAACTCTCTTTCAGTAATTTGTTATCTTAGTTTTACACGCGTCAATGTTCTGCTTTTCTTTAAAGTTTCCATTCACGCCCTGCAGCAGCCTTTCCACAGAAAAATACTCAACATAGCAAAGAAGACTCTTTTTATGTACCACACCCTCTAATATTTATTCATTTATTTTGTCTAAGAAATAATGTGTTAAAGTTTACAGGTTCAACACGTGGTGCATGTTGTCCTGCCTCAGTGCACTAACATCACTGACTCATAACTCTATACCTCAGTTCACTATGGCATCAAATGGAAACAACACTAAAACTTTATTCACAACATATTTAACCCATTAAGGTAAATTATTATAGTATGAACAATGTAAGAAAAACCTTTAATACTGAGTTTGCCCCAAGCTCCTCAACCCAACAACAGGTTAAGGTGAACAAACAATAAGATAATTAAAAATAAATAAAACAAGGTTCTCATACAGAGAGACGTACAACATTATAATAATCTTCAATAATACATTTGAGTTCGTAGTGATTAACATCACAGTCTTCATTCGTTGCCCTGTATCAACTTAAAATGAAGTGTACCTTATTGTGGTGTAAAGTTGAAATGTTGTGCACCTTTTGGACAAAGGTTAAATCCGTCAAACAAACATGCATTTTGTCAAACCGTGTTCGAAGTCCAAAATGCAGCTTCATTCAGCATTCAATAATGTAGATACCCTTTGTGCTAATCTAGTGAGAAACACAATCTTAATATTTCTCTTTCAGATGCTCCGAGGCTCCCTTACTTGTCAAGACCATCTGGTGAGATAGAGGAGGGCAGTTCAGTGACTCTGACCTGTAGCAGTGATGCTAACCCAGCAGCTAACTACACCTGGTACAAGAAGAATGGAAATCCTAACGTTCCTCTTCTCAGTGAACGACCACAGCTTGTCTTCAGATCCATCCAGGCCTCTGACTCTGGAGAGTATTTCTGTACAGCTGAGAACAAGCTGGGGAGGACATCTGCAAACATCTCTATTGATGTGAAATGTGAGTAAGACAGTTTATTAAAAGTTAACAAGCTTATATCTGTCTAGTTGTTTCTAGAGAAGATGTTACTTATAATCACTACTTTCTTCAGCTCAGCTTGCTTTACATTACATGGGATCCAGGGAACAAGTGGGTAACAAAAAGTTAACTGGCAGTAACTTCTAATCACATTTTATAGAGTTGCTAATGATGACATCATCGAGAAACAACTGTGAAATATTGTTATATTTAACTAATATTTACTGGTATTAACTTTATAAGGCTATCTCTAAATCCTTAAATTCCATGACTCAATTCATAGTTGTGACTTGATTAAGTGATACACTAAACGGCATTTAACCAATGACATCATTACTTTATTATGACTAATAACAATTCAGAAATAACCATGAATAATTATTTACAGTACATATTAATTCATTTACATAATATCTAAAGGTTGTTTCTCTATAATATATTCCTTAGCTACACTGAAAAAACTGAAACGTTGACTATAATGAAATTTATTATGTCAACAAATTACACATAATTGTATTAGGTTGGTTGAAAGCAATAACATACATTTTAAATGAAAAATATTAGGTTCAACTTAATATTATTGCTTTCAACTCACCTAATGCAAACAAATAGAATTTATTGAAATGATACATTTCATTAAAGTCAATGTTTTAGTGTTTTCAGTGTACTCTACAAAATGTGATTAGTAAATACTCAACAACTGTCCTTCAAGTTAGGGTTATTTTGGAATGAGTTCCTCATTCAATGCTCTGTAATGACTCGAAATGCAGCTATTCAGCGTTCAATAATGTAGATACCTTTGAGCTAATGCAGTGAGAAACACATTCTTAATATTTACTGTTCACACATCTCCTCCAGATGCTCCGAGGATTACTTCTTTGTCAAGACCCTCTGGTGAGATAAAGGAGGGCAGTCCAGTGACTCTGACCTGTAGCAGTGATGCTAACCCAGCAGCTAAATACACCTGGTACAAGAGGAATGGAAATGCAAACGTTCCTCTTCTCAGTGAACGACCACAGCTTCTCTTCAGCTCCATCCAGTCCTCTGACTCTGGACAGTATTATTGTACAGTTGAGAACAAGCTGGGGAGGAGGACATCTCTAAACACCTTTATTGATGTGAAATGTGAGTAATCATAACTTCTTTCTTACATCTACTTGCTTTATATTACAGTATGCTGTAAATGACTGAGCAGCTTCAGGAGATAACAGAGGCTTAGTGCACTTCAAATACCTAGATTTAAATCGTGAACCATCCATTGGTCAGACCACCTTCAAAGTATACAATGCAGTTACACATAGCTTCTCATATTTTGTGATATAAAATATCCTGCACAACATGTAATGTTAAAACACAAATTTTAACCTAGAAAATTATTTGTTTTCGCATCTCCTCCAGATGCTCCAAAGCTTCCCTCTGTGTCAGTTAGTCCCTCTGCTGAGATAGAGGAGGGCAGTTCAGTGACTCTGACCTGTAGCAGTGATGCTAACCCAGCAGCTAACTACACCTGGTACAAGAGGAATATAAATGCAGGCCTTCCTCCTCTCAGTGATAAACCACAGCTTGTCTTCAGATCCATCCAGTCCTCTGACTCTGGACAGTACTACTGTACAGCTGAGAACAAGCTGCGAGGGAAGACATCTAAAGACATCTCTATTGATGTGAAATGTGAGTATTGGTTATTATCGATGTAATTTACAGTCAGTTGTAATTCAGCTTAAATCTGTCGAGTTCTGCATGAGAAGATTTGAATGGTCATAAATACTCTCTTCAACTCTACCTGCTTCACATTGCATGGAATCCAGATAACAAATGGGTAACAAATGATGTTCAGGCAGTAACTTCTAATCACATTTTATAGAGTAGGCCATGTTTACCTAATTGCGAAACACCTAATGAATATTTTGTAAATTCACTAATATTTACTTTAATTAATGTCAATAGGTATCTCAAAATCCTTCCTTAACCTGTTACGCTCCATCCGCCCGGTACCGGGCGGATAAACGCGTTATTTGCAGGAAACAACGTCTAAGGAATCTTAATATTGAATAAAACTATGAATGTGTTATATCCATGTAACGGGAAGAAACTCAGCTAACTGATCTTTTTAATTTTTTTTTTCAAAAAAAACCCACAATGCTAGCACTCAGCCTCTGAATTAGCCACGAGCGAAAAAATTGAACCTAAAACGGCACTTAAACTCACTCATAACTCCCTTATTACTTATCCTAGATGCACAACCAACCACTCGTTTTTGGTGTCCTGGAGACACTGAATCTAGTGGTGCCCTCCTCAACACTCAGTGATAAACATTCGCGACGCTATAAACGAAAGCGTACATCATAACATGTGGAGCTAAGTAGCTAGAAACGCTAACATGGCTTACCTTGGTCAAAACTGGTCTTCAATGGCATTCAAACGATAAAAAAACGATACTGCAGTTAATCCATAGGTTCATCCTATGTATCTGTGCCTTCTTTGAAATTATTTCTGATAATCCATAAGCAATAAAACTGCTTTTTAGTTTCCAAACTCCAGAAGGAGAAAATCTGCAAATCTCGTTTCATTTCTAGACGCGAAGCCCCCACCTTTTCTCTTTACAATGAGTGTGTTTGTGGGCCTCCCCCTTCGATTCTATTGGCTCTAACGGTCAGAAAGGTGTGTCAACGAACAAAATTGAGCAAGGGGGGCCAGAGATAGGTCAAATCCACCCAAATGACCCCAGAAGTGGGGGTTTTTGGCTAAATCTCTCTAAAAAGGTCAAATTTCACTTGTTTTGCATCAATCTTGATACAGGGTACTTATTATATGTTGTACTTTGGATTCCTAAAGCTTTTAGTCTACTAACCCATCATCCAAGGGTAGTTTTCACTATCTGTAAAAAATAACTTTTGGACGGACACTATAATTTACAGTTTTTTACTATGTAAAATCTGAATTTTCTTTAAAATAAAAAACATTTATATTGATTCTGACATTTCTACATCCAACTCACAGATGTAACCTTGCTTTGATAAAAGAAATTATTCATATAACCCTTTTAGAAGTTAAGTTGTAGTCATTTGTTTTGGGCATGTCATTTTCGAGCCTGAAACATGAAAAACAGGCTAATAACTTGCTTTCACCGTTATATTTTTTTATGACCCACCAATTGTTTATATATTTGTCTTATTGGTGCTAACATACTCAGTAACAACCAACAAGTCAGTACTGTGCACCATTTGACTGGAGGAGAGAGAAATAAAAACGAATATGTGGTTCATCATAAAATCAGGATTTGTTATTGGTTAGGGGCTTTTTAGTGCAGTACACGGAAGCAATTGAGAACTATGCATTTCTCACGAGATACTCAACAACTGTCCGTTAAGATAAGGATATAAGATACGGATATCTGGGGCGGCTGTGGCTAAGTGGATAGAGTGCTGGAATCAGGGGGTAGCAAGTTTGAGTCCCACTGCAGTCAGCATGTCGTTGTGTCCCTGGGCAAGACAATTCACCCCAAATGGCTCCTGTTGGGATTGTCCACAGTACTGAATGTATGGAAGTCGCTTTGGATAAAAGCGTCTAACAAATTACATGTAATGTAATGTAAGATCTTAGTACAATGTATCGTGGTTTAAGGGTGACATTTTATGCAGATTTGGGACCCAGATTTAAACCGTCAAACATGCATTTTGTAGGACCACCTTCAATCCAAAATGCAGCTTCACTCAGCAGTTTAAACTTTTAATAACAATTTTGCTAATCTAGTAAGCAACACATTGTCTTGGAATAATCTCTGTTATCACATCTCCTCCAGATGCTCCGAGGGTTCCTTCTGTGTCTGTGAGTCCCTCAGATGAGATAAAGGAAGGCAGTTTAGTGACTCTGACCTGTAGCAGTGATGCTAACCCAGCAGCTAAATACACCTGGTACAAAGGAAAGAGAAATCCCGACCTTCCTCCTCTCAATGAAGGACCACAGCTTGTCTTCAGCTCCATCAGTTCCTCTGACTCTGGTCAGTATTGCTGTACAGCTGAAAACAAGCTGGGGACGAAGGCATCTAAAGACATCTCTATTGATGTGAATTGTGAGTAATTGTAGTTAGTTTCTTATTTCTACTTGCTTTACATTCACAGTCTGGTGTAATCACTGAGAAGCTTCAGGAGATTATAGAAGCTTTGTTGGGTTTAAAGTCCCAGAATTAAACAATGACCCATCCATGTGTCACTCCACCTTCAAAGTCTAAAATGCATCTACACAGAGCTATTCACATTTTGTGATTTAAATACCCTGTACAACACGTACTACATGAGAAACAACATCACCTAGGGTCATCTTTGTTAACACATTTCTCCTCAAGAACTGGAGCTGAACTTTCCCATAACTGGGCAAAAGTGTAAATCCAAGAAAAATGAATGCACAGTACTGCCCACATGGAAGAAAGGCTGAATATATTATTAACAGAAGAAAGTCAGAATGAGCAGCTGCAGTGGGGCAAGCCTCAGTAACATCAGTAATCATAGGAGGGCTTCTCATCCTCTTTTGACCTTAGGTTTCAGTAAAAGCCCGTTCTGTGTGTAAGGATAGCTCTGTGGGATGCCTTATTATGGTGTCAGTTAGTTCAGTATTTACAGTGGGTGTCAGTTAATTCATTATGTGGTGACTATTGCCACTCAATATCAGCTGGGATTGACCAAACTGGGTTTAACTAATTGGACGTGTGTAATCTCCATGTACGACGAAGTTTAGCTTTCAATATCTTTTATTTTCAAAGAAAACAGCGTGTTCACAGACACGATAGACACGCTCAAAAAACGATTGCTCTCCCAGTCACAATCAATGCACCTGTGCCTGGAGATCACTTATATGCTGTTGCCCCATTACGCCATCTAGTGTTCAAATAACAAAACATATAAACCATTATAATGGGCGGAACACATTATGTTAATCAGTCATGTCTGATAAATATCCAAGCATACAGTATACTAATACTACAAATGCAAATACTGTGACTCTGGCATAACATGGGCTATGGACTAGTGCTTACATTTTAAATGTGCTACAGATGAATATTCATCCTGACCGTGGCCACTCAACAACTCCTTATTTCAATGTACATTTGGAAATGTGTCTTTCTTATATCTTTCCAGTTGTGTGTATAAAACCGCAGGAGGTCAGTCTCCTAACTGAACGTTTTTGCTAATCTAGTAAGCAACACATTGTCTTGGATGCCACTGGTGCGGTGTTAACCCAAATGTAAAGTACATGTATAGCCTTTCTAAGAAAAGCCATGACAAATTGCAATCAACATTTGAGGTCCCGGAGGCACATTGCTACACAAACTGTGTAGAAACGTTGTTTTTCTACAGTGTGAGAAGATTTTGAGTCACTTAACATTGTTGTGATGCATCTTCTTCAAAAAGATGAAGCCATGAAGAGAACATTTGTGGCCAAATGTCATCATAAGGTCCATCAGGAAATATTTTAATCTGCCATCTTTGCAGATGTGATAACACCCTGTCTCATGGAGCAGGGTTTCTATTGTAGATGAAAGTGAAGTGAGCTTAATCATTGTGTTGCTGCTTCTGGTTTGTTGTAGTCATACATCAGGGGTGGCCAACCAGTCAGAGGTTAAGAGCCACATTTTTTCTATGTTACTGCAAAGAGCCACATCAAACACACAGTTACTGATACCGCTTGTTTCAGTTTTTTGTTTTCTGGAGACAAGATTTCAATTACGTCACTGTGGCATTTTTGAACAAACTCCCCTTCATTGTACGGCTTTTTAGCTTGTGCTATGTTCCAAGCAGCTTGATAAGATGCAAGCGTTACGGTCTCCGAGTGCTTCGTTATTTTTTTTAAAAACTGTGTCTGCTTTTCTGCCTGACATTTCAAGGTGTTTATCTTCTGCTTGCGAAGTTTCGTACCTTTTGGGAAGTCCTGGTCGATGTTATCATGGAGTGAGGTGAAATGGCGCTGAAGATTTGAAGCCTTGAAATGGGTTAATGCTGTCTGGCATATAAGGCAAAATGGCTTGCAATTGCCCCCGTCAAAGGTGATTGGTTCACTGCATCACAGGTATTATTTTGATTGGCTCTTGGGCCACATCAAAATTAGGCGCGCTGTCATCCTCTCATACTGACACCTGACACCACACATGCACAGGGAGAGCCAGGACGAAAGTAACGGAGCGATTTTATCCGAGCCCAAACAACTTTGACCGGCCAAATTACGTCATAATTATCAGCATTCAATACTTAACAGACCTACTAAATATCAGGTTTAACTGTCAGGAGTCCGCGTCTCTCCCCCAAACTCACACATATAAAATTCGACATGAACTGAAGAGCCGCATGAAACTAGGCAAAGAGCAGCATGCGGCTCGAGAGCCGCGGGTTGGCCACCCCTGTCATACATGTGTGCCCAAAAAACTGGTTTCTCTCTTTTGTCCTCCAGATGCTCCAAAGACTTCCTCTGTGTCAGCGAGTCCCTCTGCTGAGATAGAGATTGGCAAATCATTGCAGCTGACCTGTAAAGGTGGCGCTAATCCAGCAGCTACACATACCTGGTACAAGGACAACCACACACTGCCTTGGGGGTCAAAAGACATTTATCAACTTGCCTCTATCACCTTAGAGGACAAAGGGAACTACCACTGCGAGTTGAAGAATAAGTACGGCCAGCTCAACTCTACATCAGTACACATAGATGTCCAATGTAAGTACAAAACATCAACAACTAGCTCAATACAAATGTGTTGAGTAGAGATAGTGATTGTTAACGTGTGATGATCTTTCCCTGGTAAAAACATTATCTGAAATAAATTCATAAAGGACGTCTATCAGCTTTTGATGTCTAACATATTCACATGCCATGTGTACAGTACGTTAAATAAAGGTTTGTGATCCCTTGACTCATTCCTCCAGTCCATGCCAGCTTGGAAGCAATACCTCTAAAAATAGTTGGATTTCATGTAATGCTAATATGTTACTGTTACTTCTAAGGTTTCATTTGTTTTAGTACTAAATGCCTCTGTGTTTGATAAAGGGATGACTCTTTATTGGCTGCAGCTGAAGGATTTGCACCATTCGTGACATGAGCTCTCCATACGTTACTCCGTGATTTGCCTACTTGGCTTTCTTTATGTAAATCTTAGGGATAAAAACATTTTTCATGTGTCTAATTTTATTTGTTTGGTCCACTTATGTCGGCTGAGAGAGTAAACCAACATTTCAATCAAATAAACTGTGGCTTTCAACTAAGGATACGACTCGAGCTAAGTGGCACAATCTTTGCAGGAACAAAGTACACATCGTAGGATCAAGAACATGTGTTTGCTGCTAATAGATTGATCGACTAACGATCTTATCAATCTCCTAAAATATTGCATGGTACAGGATCTAAATTGCAGTGCTCAGGTCAAAAACAAAGCCACAGAGGGATATGTCCAGCAATATGTAGGCTTTTTTGCCATAGATGGTAGTTTCCACTGCCAAGTTGGGCCCCTTCTGCACACCCTGATGATATCAAGTGGGGAATTAGTAGATCTACTTTACTAAAGATACACTTCTACACATTCTCTTCCAGATGCTCCAAAGCTCCCCTCTGTGTCAGTGAGTCCCTCTGCTGAGATAGAGGAGGGCAGTTCAGTGACTCTGACCTGTAGCAGTGATGCTAACCCAGCAGCTAACTACACCTGGTACAAGAAGGATGAAGACTCTCCAAGAGCTTCAGGACAGATCTTCACCATCACTGACTTCAGAGCTGAACACAGTGGGAGTTATTCCTGTGAAGCCCAGAACAAGTTAGGACGTAGTAACTCCACCTTACATCTGATTGTTGTGGCAGGAGGTAAGTCATTTTGCACCACAGGACATCCCAAGGCACAGCAACTTTAGCACTACAGTTCTTTGAAGAGCTAAGATGCAATTTACTGTTACACTCTCTGGACAGAATTTGTATTTAGAATTCTAAATCTGAGGTTTGCTGCTCAAAGTTGCCGGACTTTTTGTGATACCCCGATAATTTCAAGGACAGACATAATCTACTTCCCCTCTCTGCTAGGCCACAGGCATAGACCACAACTCTGCGTTACTCTGCATTGGGTTGTCAACCATTACAACCAATCAATATTTATTTTTGCCTTACCATTGGTCATCTTGCTAAAGTCAGGCTTTTTGACTACTTGCAAGTCTTCCAATACTCTCTGGTCTCCCAGTCGAGGTCAGCACTTCTTCACTTTTGACGAGATGCTAGGAAAGGTCTTGCCTCCCTTTTTTCAGTCACCGGACAGATTGCCAGAATATCTTCGAGTCCCTCTCTTTGGCATTGAAAACTATAGTTTCCCAAACTTTCCATTAAGTATTTCTTTGGAGTGGGCAGCATTCCTGATAAGGTGATTAACCTCATCACTAAGTTGGGATCAGTTGACTGCTCTGCTAAAGAATCCAAGACAGAGATTTGATCATTTAGGTCAACGATTAATCTTTAGTCTGAGGAGCAAGGTTGGCCACAATCAGACCCTCAATTGTCAAAGCATTAGGGACCACCAAATACCAATGGTTGTTCCCGGTTTAAAAACGCCCTTGTGCTGTTGATCATTTATGGGACGCAAAAGCAAAAAAAAACTGTGATGAGTTACTATATTAAATGCTTCTCTCTTAAGATCTAAGACTTAATAACTAATTATTACCTGTTAAGGAACTCAAAAATATCTGTAATAGAAAAACTAATTGTCACTGTTTCCCAGGTTCAATGAAAACAGTCGCTGCTGGATCAATAACTGCTGTTATTGTGTGTATCATATTCCTCATTGCCTTTCTGTTGATTAGGTAAGCAGTTCAGTTTTACTTTGATTACGTTCAGTAAGGCCACAGTTATTTAATTTTAAGATTTATTTCTTTGTTAATTCACTTTCTTTTCCAGAAGAAAGAGGTCCTCGAAACCAACCACGGAAGCTGGAGAGAGACCAGACAACGACGCTCAGGTGAGAAAGAATATTTCAGGTATCACTTAGGGTCAATCTTCACCTGCAAACTAATTTGAACACTGCATCATGTCCCAGTTTGGAAACGTCCTTTTCCCAAACTAAATATTTTACCTTAGGGAAACGTGACTTAGGAGGTAGAGTGAGTCATCTATTAATCACAGCGTTGGGGCTTTGATCCCTGTCTGTATGTTTAAAGACCAAAATAAACGTAATCAAGATGATCTTCATGGGCCATGTAGTACTTTTTCGGTGAAGCTTTGTCGCCATCTGTGTGTGAGTTTGGTGAATGAGAGGCCTTTTTGCAGTGCTTACCAGTGTGCAGTCGATTACCATTCCAGTCCCTATCATACTTTCTTTTTTCCTCCTGTTAAATTCAATTTGATAAATCCATAGCTATGCTTTTGTCATACCTTAGTTTGCCTTTCCTCAGTCATTCTGTGCCATACGGTTATCAACATTATGTGTATGGTGTCTTTGGTCTTTCCATTGCTTGGGATGTAAACCTTTCCATACATGTAAGCATTTTTTAAATATTGGGGGATACAATGACAATAACAAAAGTGATCTCAAAGAAGCAGCCACCTCAGGTCTGAAAGATGAAGCCAATGCATAAGTGCCTTAAGGCTGCATTCTTTCCAATGGCCAGCAGAGAGCGAATCCACTGGCTATAACGGAGCGTCCACACAGCAGCGTTAAAAAAATCTTGAAACGCTTCTTCCCATTCACTTTGAATGGGGTGACGTCACTTTGCCTCACTTTTCGCCGAACTGCATTGTGGGCAGCAGAGCGGAGATTTTCAGGATTTTCATGATTCAAAGTTGAGCAATGTTCAACTTTTGAAGCTGAGGTGGAAGCGTCAGCCAATCAAATCCCGTTTATGCAAATCTGACAATTCAAGCGCTAGCCAATCAAACCGCGTGTAAGCTGTGAGAGACATACCGCAGGTCATTTCCTCATATTCCAAAAAATGGAGGAGAAATGAGCGGTAGGGAATCACCCGGTGCTTTATGACCAGTCCCTATAGGCTACCGGGATATAAACCGGAGGAGCCAGGCATGGAGGGAGGTGGCAGAGACAGTGGTAGGTTTTCGCCTGTTTGGGGAGTTTATATCCAGTTTACTTCGGGCTTTTTTGCTTCGTATGTCGGGGGCGGGAGATTCATGTGATTGGTTGTTGGTCGCGTTGCTCGCAAAAAATCCCCAAGCTTCAGATACGCCCACCTCCAAGATTTTTTTAACGCTGCTGTGTAGACGCTCCGTAACAGAGAATCTGATTGTGTAGAATTCTATGAGAAAATGACCCTACTGTTAACATGATTTATGACCTCAGTATACATTTTTCTGATGAGTTTATAGTCTTACTTGCTGATTTAAAGTCTTCTTTAATACAGCACAACTTATTTGTTGTAAGTTATGGTCCCATTTAGAGAATATTAGCAAAAAGGTGACTTGTTATATTATTTATTTTTTTACAACTTGAACCCATTGCAGTCCTAAAAAAAGTTTTTGTAAAATGTTTTTTGTTCAGAACAGAACAGAACATTGAGGTGGCAGTGGGCAAAATACCAAATTCAAGGCTTCAACACCATAATTAGCCAAATTCATATTGATCATGTCAACTTCTTAAATACAGTCTATGCCTCAAACCAATCACTTTTAGGCTTTGAACATTTTGCTTGACCCTAAAAGATGAGGACATTTAATAAGTGCCTGATTTGGAATTTTTAAATGTATTGAAATTGCAAAGAAGCCCCATTGCAAAAGTAATGGTCATTTTGTCTTAAAGGCCAATCTATGAGACACTAACCACTAGAAATATATGTTGTGTTTGTCTTTGTGATTTTTCCTTCAGGTACGCATTTATGACAGCCCTTCAGCTGCAGTACAGAGTGCAACACCAGAGCAGGAGGCCGAGGTTTGCTATGCCAGCGTGAGATTCATTAAAAACCAGGAAGAGGCTCTCTACTCCAACATCAAGCCCGCTCATCTCCGCAGACACAAGAAGGACGAGAAGGACAAGGAGGATGATGTTGACCACTCTACTGTCACATCTAAAAGTCACAGTGCTACTGCAGAGTGAGTAAAAGATCATTTTGCTTTGCTACATAAAGTTATTCAGACTGTTTCATCCTTCTTTACAAAAACATGTTCTTAGTCAGTAATGTGAGTTTATAATTTGCTTTATCAACAGATCAGAGCGTCATGAGGCTGCGGAGGATCCATCTGCATTGTACAGCGTAGTCAACAAAAAACCAAGAGTATTGACATAACATCTGTGTTCTCTTAAACAGTGTTCAAACAGTTTAAACACACATGTATAAATATAAGGTCTGAGTTATGACATTCACTGCTAGATTACTAGTATCATGTAGCTAACGTATACATGCTGAAGCTTGTAATTTATAAATACCAATACAGAAAACTATTTTTAAGCTTGTCAAAGTAGCCTACATTTCTCTGTGTACAATATATATTTACCATAATCTTTTTCTGCTCTGCTGTTCAGTTTAATTGCCTTTTTATTGTTTAACATGTTGATAATTTTCATTTTATTAATATTTCACCTCTGCTTCATTACTTAGGGTTAGGGTTAGGGTTATCCAAAGGGTTAACCCTAACCCTTTGGATTTGGAACCCCCACTCTAACTTTGTCCTAGGTAGTCTTAATATCATCTAACCCTAACCCTGTTCACCTGTAGTTTGCGCACACAAAAGCATTTTACTCTGGGCTCAGGTGAAAAACTAAAGAGGGGCTTCCACATGTGGTACTCTGATTTTCTATTTGGAGGATAATTAAGACCTTGTATTTGCATGCTGACCAAGTACTTTCTCTGCTTCTGTCTTACTATCTGAATACAATTACCCATTTTTCCTGGCAATGAGAAATCCCTGCTTTTAAAAGTTCAAGTGTTTTAAAGTCTTTCAACTGTGCACATATTGTTTATTCCCCAAGATGAACACAAAATAAAGAAGCATATATTTACCCTAACCCAAATTGTCCAAATGTGTGGTATCTTCTCCATTGATTACAATAGGTTTGTAAAAGCTAATTACAATACTAAGACGAATAACACATTTGTATTGTTCTTAATATTAGTGTTCATCATTGTTGACATTGGTACTTTTGCATAATCTTTAATTATGCATGTACTGATCATTTTCCCCTGCAATCATAAAATAATAAATAAAGGGTTAGGGTTTTTTATTATTCTTTGCCTTTCCAAAGCATTAAATCATTATTTACACAACACGAAAGGAACTTAATGTAAATCCCCCCAACACACATCACAACACATCCCCCCGACGGAGCTGCGATTACGAAACTGAAATTATGAAGCTTGGGATGGTGCGCTACTAGCATAGGGCCCCTTAAGGGGGTTTCCCGACATGTCATTGCAGTGTTTTCTACATGGCAATACATTAAAGGGGGTTTCAAGTTGTCGTTGCTGTGGACCAATTTAATCAACCTTCTTTGGGGGCCCCTTCTGGTCTGGAGCCCCAAGCAGTTGCCTGCCTTGCCTGCTGGCAAGCGGCGCCCCTGTCTGTAACACTTCTCCTCCAGATGCTCCCTTTATGTCAGTGAGTCCCAGTGGCGGCTGGTGGAATTTTGTCTAGGTAGGGCTGTGCCACATGCAATCAATTTCAGCAAACATCCCAGTATGATTTAATGCAAAAAAGAAACGGGGGTTTTCAGTGTTAATTTACCAGTCTTAAATTGTAATGCCTCCATAAACAATTAAAGCATTTGAGACTGAGGACTATGTACAACAACTTTAAAAATATGCATTAGCAATACTTGCATACATATATGTATATATATGATTTATATAATATATATATATATATGTATGGAAATATATATATATATATATATATATATATATATATATATATATATATATATATATATATATATATATATTACAGAACAACAGTATAATCAACAGTAATACAAAAAGCTGAAGATGTAACAAACTAGGGCTGCACGATTAATCAATTTTAAATCGAAATTGCGATTTTAAATGATGCAATCGCAAAGCCTGCGATTTGGGATACACGTTATACAGCGCGTCGGTTTCAATGTTTTTCTTGTGTGTCAGTCATCCACACCAATCAGAAGTGCTGTGCTCCACATGTAACAGCCATTGTTAACCAATCAGAAGTGGCCCAAGGTAACTACGCATACGCCCAACAACAACACTGCACGTGAAACGCCCATGTGTGAAGACGTTTGTATATGTATATACTGATGTATATCAGTATGTAGTGTCTCTACTTTAAAGAGTCCTCTCTGATGTTCAGGTGTATATCAGTATAAAGTGTCTCTACTTTAAAGACTCCTCTCCTGCTGATGTTCAGGTGTATATCAGTATGTAGTGTCTCTACTTTAAAGAGTTTAAAGATGTACATGCACAAAAACCTGTACTACACACTACAGGAAAAGGAAAACCTCAAAAAGCATTATAGGGCCTCTTTAAATATCTTATCAGCCCTCTTTATTGATAAATATTTTGGACAGATTACTATCTGGCTTCAGACTCAATGATGGTTGGGACATGAAGACTCCTGCGAAACAATTGGCCGTTCAATCGTTATGTTCTGTCTGAATTATGTTTTGCTAATCATAGGCTTTCCTGTTCCTTCTCTGCACCTCCACACTGTCTCAGTTCTCTGTCATTGCATTCAGTGCGTTGTTTGCAAAACAACAGTGAGTTCTTGATCTCATAGCAGGATCAAGTTCTTCTTTTTAACTTAGAGACTTACTGCACAGTCATTCGTATTTTAAAACTGTAAAAAGGAAGGAAACCAGGCTAGTTTTTAACACATTGATGAAGTGACAGAGAAACGTCCTTCCTGATGCAGAAAGGTATAAAGAAACAGTATTTTCCGGCTGATTCATCAGAGATGAGAGGAGCAGCTATGAGTTTACCAGTGAGAGGATTTGTCGTCTTCCTTCTCTCTGTACAAGGTACTGTTCATTTATCTTTATATTTTAAGGTAGTGAATGCACCTCAGAAATACAGAAAATGTTTATATGTAAAACAACACCAAAGTATTGTGCACCATCAAAGACAGTTAAGTTGTATTTGGGTGGATGAAAGTAATGACTTCTCACAACTACATATATTCAATCACAAAGAAGGAATCCATATTGATTCAATTAAATCTGCTGTTGAACTTATTCAGGAAATACAATTGTTCAACAATACTTCCTTCAGCTATTTTTTGTAGTATTTCATAGATTTACTGCCAGATGCTGCCGTTACAATTTTCACAACCAAAACAGTTTGGCGCAATAACAGCATCTTTATCTCACACTGACTTACAGTTGGATGGCATTGGAGAAAATGTAGTTGTGAGACTAATGTGGACTAAGCAGCTTCACCAATGAAAATGTGTCTCCTGATGTTGATATGAGTCTGATAATAGTTTCTGATGTGCTCTGTGTTACAGTGGTTCAGGGTCTGTATGACTGGGGAGTAAATTACACTTCTACTGATATCTGTGCAGTGAAAGGATCAACAGTGGAAATAAGATGCAGCTACACATACCCATTCAAAAGCTGGTATACCACAGTGGAGAAAATGTTCTGGTTTACTCAAAAGAAAGGCGGTGATCGTGTAAATCTGAAAACAGACTCAGAGTATGCAGGTCGTGTAGAGAATTGCTGTAAAAACCGCATCTGCATTCTAAGAATCAAAAACCTGACAGAGAGCGACTCAGCTGAGTACAAGTTCAGGTTTGAAACCAACAAAGGTGGATCATATATTGGTTCACCTGGAGTCACTCTGTCTGTCACAGGTAACGCTCATGTTTTATATTTCCAAATGTTCAGTAGCTCAAAATAATATAATTTTGCGGTGTGGTTTTTGCACGGATGTTGAGAGATTTGTCGTTCCTGTTTCTTCTTCACAAATCCAGATCTCCAGTTGAAGGTGAGCAGAGCGTATTCAGACCAGGCAGAGCTGAAGTGTCAGACCAGCTGTCATGTACCTGATAATAATTCCTACATCTGGTACAAGAATGGAGAGGAACTTCGGACAGGAATATCTTACTCTCGTTTAGTCAACTTTGGTTCAGCAGACATCTATTCCTGTGCTTTAAACGGACATGAGAATCACCGTTCTCCTCCAGTGTGTGAGTTCACTGCACTGTTTTAAAGAGGAAATGTTATGCTCATTCTCAGGTTCATATTTGTATTTCCTGTCTCTACTGGGACATGTCTCCATGCTTTAATGTTCAAAAAGCTCTTTATTTTTCTCATACTGCCTGTGCTGCAGCACCTCTTTTCACCCTCTGTCTGAAACCAGAGCCCAGTCTGCTCGAATTGGTTAGCTGGCCGGCTCTGTTGTGATTGGTCAACCCCTCAGAGATGTCCCGCCCCTTAGCCATATCACGTACAATGTGTTGGAGCGCTAGCGCTCTCCTTGAGGGAGAGAAACTCCCTCTGGAGGAGCACAGGGATTTTAGCCTTTGCAGACCATTTACATGCACAAAAATCTATATGACACACTTCAGGAAAGAGAAAACCCCAAAAGCATAACAGGGCCTCTTTAACGTCTTCTGCTTTTGCACTTTGTCATTATCGTTAAGGTTTGCTGCCTCTTCTAGTTGGGGGCACTAAAGACAAGCTAGTTTGATTTTGCCTTATACAGTAATAGTTGTATTTCTACACCTTTTCTTCCAGATGCTCCAAAGCGTCCCTCTGTGTCAGTGAGTCCCTCTGCTGAGATAGAGGAGGGCAGTTCAGTGACTCTGACCTGTAGCAGTGATGCTAACCCAGCAGCTAACTACACCTGGTACAAGGAGGATGGAAATTCAAACCTTCCTCCTCTCACTAAAGAACCACAGTTTGTCTTCAGCTCCATCCATTCCTCTGACTCTGGAGAGTATATCTGTTCAGCTGAGAACAAGATGGGAAGGAGGACATCGGAAAAGTTGTTTATTGATGTGAAATGTGAGTGAAACAGATCATTCTAAGTTTCAATCTACAGGGGGATATTTTACTGATCATAACTACAAACTTCCCTCAGCTCTTCTCGGCTATTAGTCGGCTAAAATTCACTGAGCAGCCTCAGGAGATTTTAGGAGTTGTATGCACACAGAAAAAACTGAACCGTTGAATTTAATTAAATGTATTATGTCAAAAAAGGTCACAGAACTGTATTAGGTTAGTTGGAAGCAAATATATTAAGTTGAACCTAATATTTTGAATTCCAACGTAATATTATTGCATTAAATGTACCTGATACAGTTATGTGAAATCTGTTGACATAATACTGTACATTTAAATAAAGTCAACATTTTTGTTTTTTGAGTGCTGCTTTTTCAAACTCCTCACATAGTGTAAACTCGGTTAAAAAAAGCCAACATTTGTTTTATATTAATGCCATCGTGCAGTCGAAAGAGATTTGGTTTTCAGTCTACGACGCAAGTTGTGTAACCTTTCTGCTGTTCTGGTGTCGATGGGCAGCTCGTTCTAACATTTATTGAACCAGTGAAGCAAACAGGCTTGTTTTTGTTCAAGGTTCCAGTTAAAGTATGTTACAGTAAAGTATCTCACAACTGTTTACCTCCATTTCTAGATAAATCCCCAATGATCATGAACATCACCAGGTTGGTTCTGGTGGTTCTGGTGGTTCTGGCGCTGATTCCTCTGCTCCTTCTCTGTCTCTGGATGAGGTAACTCTGCAAATACATAATCATATCCAGCATTGATATGTTCCCCTGTGTACTGACTCTCATATTTATAAATCTGTTTGTTTGTGGATTAAATTCAGGAAGAAGAAGGCTTCGAGCTCCACCACTGAAGCGAATGAACCCATAGAGACTGTGGAGGTGAGACAGTGACAGATCGTACTCTAGCAACTGGTTATTACCTGTTGTTAAATAGGGTCATCTTGAAAATGTGCATTTACCTTAGTAACTACTTTCTTAAAAGAACTACCAATGTGTATTTATTTACACATTGACAGATCCTACTCTAGAAACTGATTATTACCTGTTGTTAATAAACAAGGTCACACATCACATATACATTACTTGGTTTCCTAATTTTTGTTTAATAAAAAATATATAATTATATCCAAATGATGGCCTCTGACTCTCCTCTCGTTGTCTCTCCATCAGTTAGACCCTTTTTCTGAGTATGAGAACGTCTCAGACCTGAACATGGTCTCTGCAGAACAGACAGAAGAACCAGAGGAGCAGGAGGACCTGGTGTGAAGGTCAGCAAGCTCTCACTCAGCTGTATTTATGAAAACAAACCCAAAACAACTTCCTGAGAAATAACTCACCAGAACTTTACATGATTTATTTTAGATGCATCAAACCAGAGGGAGACTCACCTGGATGAAACAGAAAGAAGTGAAACATTGAAGAGGAAACATTTACCCTCAAGTTTTCATGGTGTTAAGTAACAGTAGGTAGGAGTGAAAGCAGTCAGAAACAACATGTAGCAGGAGATGGAGTAACATTTTTATTTTAATGTACAGTATATATACACACTGTAACAGAAATGTGCATCAGCTTACATTTAGCATGCTAACTACTTATCATATTTGCAGCATTCCTTCAATGTGTATATATTTTTGTAGTGTCACGATAAAAGCAAAATTGGGAAAAGAGAAAGAAAGACAGTATTTGCACAACACATGCATCTTTTCAAACATACACACACACACACACACACACACACACACACACACACACACACACACACACACACACACACACACCATGTTTCCATCACTTCAGGGGACATTCAATTGACTTACATGCAATTCCTGGAGACCTATCCTAACCTTAACCATAACCAACACATGCCTAACCCTGACCAAGTCTTCACCCTAAAATGAATGATTCCCCTTATGGGGACCTTCCTTATGTCCCCACAAGGGAGGCGATTCCCCACACGTGAGTGTGTACACAGATATAGGTCCCCACAAGGATAGTAATGCTAGGTCACACACACACACACACACACACACACACAAACACACACACACACACACACATACACACACACACACAGGTTGATTCTTCAAACGCCTTACTTATTGTTGAATTTTGATCCTTATATTAATCCATTCATTCCACCTTTCCAAATATTTATATACGTATAGATATGTGTTATTTTTGTATTTCTAAAATGAAGCTTACATTTGACTCCTTGTTGTTATATGAAGGTTAAACCAGTTCCTCATTCTCTTTCTCACAGCTGTTCTTCTTAGTATCCTTTATACATATCTGTAACTAGCTTCTTCCTCTTTAAAAGCATGTTTAAGTTCTTCTTTAAACCTCATCATAGATTGTGCTTCAATGTTTAATCATACAGTACATCTTGAAAATGGGACTGCTATTGGTTTCCTTCTCTTTTTTCTGAATTGTTATAGAGTCTAAAGTGTAAACAACTATACAAATGTAACTGAGCATAATTTTTATCCTTTTTTTTAGCTTTTGGGAAAGTAATCTTGCCGTTTTCCATGAGACCAATATGTTTGGTTGTCCTTCTGTAATGTAACTGTGTACTGTGCTATTGTTATCAAGTGAGAGTTAAAATAAACTCAAATAAAATAATAAGCAACTTTGGTATTCTTTCTTGCTTTCTGTCTTTGTTAAGGCTTGTATAACTTTGTAACTTAAAGGGTAGTTGAACGGTTAAAAACTGTTCCTCGACGGCGTCATTCTGACAGGTCGCCCATCTCTGTCGCTTTAGAGGAGGCACCGTGGGAGTTGTAGTCTTTTATACTGTGTTGACTACAGACGTCACGATTAGGTGCCTTTTTTTTATAAAATACTGGCTCTAACACTAACATTAATGATGATTGTTCACAACATGACAACCATGCACTGTGTTCGTTCCTGTTTTTAGGATCAGTGGGGCTTCAGGGCTGCCCATGTGCAGCTGTTTGAATGCATCGTTTCCAAAACCATAGCAGGAATAAGTTCTTCATTTTAACCTAAAGACATATTTTAGGCATCTCTATTTTCAAACTGAAAAGAGGAAGGGAACCCTGGCAGTTTTTTAGCACATTGACATAGTAACAGAGGAACCGTCCTATTTCTTCTGTATGTGATACCTGATTTATCAGAGACGTGAGGAGCAGCTATGAGTTTACCAGCGAGAGGATTTGATGTCTTCCTTCTCTCTACACAAGGTACTGTACATCTCTTTATATTTGAAGGCAGTGAATGCACCTCAGAAATGCAGAAGATGGTAAGTTTATGAAAAAAATCAAAATAGTGTTGAAGATTTTGATGGTGCACAAGTATTGTCCCCAGCTGTGTCTTGTCGTCTTGATTGGTCATGTATGTATTTAAGTTCTGGTTTGGTGGGTTCTTTTTGTGATTAGAGGGAATGAGAGTACGGTTTTGCATTTATCCAGTTTCCCTGGATAAAGTTTATTTTCAGTTAAAACATTCGTCTGTCTGCACTTGGGTCCACCCTGCGCTGCTCAACCTTAACAATAGGACCTGATTTTTTATGACAATTCAACCTCAACCCTAGGCTCAGTTTAGTCAAATAAAACAACAGGGGGCACTCATGTAGCTCACCTGTCAGAGAGAGCCATGTACAAAAAGGGGGTCCATCCAATGAAGGCAAAAAGGTAGAAAGGTGTAATTAAAGTCTACGTTTCAGTTTTTTCAGTGCAGTTATGGGACCCAAACTGAAGTGTTAAACAATACAACCAATATGTAAGACCAGACAAAGTTTAAAATGCAGCTACACAGTAAAAATAGAACAATAAGTATGACCCGATGTATAGGTAACAAACATGAGCAGCGCAACCCGGTCATACGCTTTCTCGAAAACCACAAAACACATGAAGACCGATGAGACATCCAGGATCCTTGCAAGAGTAGAAGAATTGTACTTTTTCCAGAACCAGGCAATAATCCACTTTGTTCTCCTCATCAGTTGAGTTCAACAGCGTCAGACGCTTCCTTTATAACAGCTTTAATGGATCCTTGCTTCTCCGTGCTGAGGGGTCGGACATTTTCCCAGAACTGCAGTTAAACGTCTTCATACAAGGCTTCTCCAAACCCCTAATACACTGTCCAACCCCAGTAGAAAGTTGCATAAACAGGAAAATTAAGTTTTTACTTGTTATTGGATTTTAATGGCCAACATAAAGTCAAAACCGGTGGGTTTTCAGTCTACGAAGCAAGTTGTGTGACCTTTCTGCTGTTCTGGTTTCGATGGGCAGCTCGTTCTAACATTTATTGAACCAGGAAAGCAGACAGACTTGTATTTGTTCAAGGTTTCAGTTAAAGTATGTTACAGTTATATACAAAACATGTCTCTGAAGTGATTGGCTCCAAATACCAAACAGATCATTGCAGCATCCCATAATCCCCTCTGTTTCAGCCCTGTTTCCAAAGAGCTGATTCTCTGTCTGTTACTTTAGATGAAAATAAGGAGCCACTCCCCACACCCCTCTGAGAGATATTTGTTTAAAGATAACACAATGGTGCTCCAGGAGGAGATTCAGGTGATAAGATGGGGGGGGGTTACCTTGGTTGGTGATTGGCTAATGGTTACACAAGCCAAAACATCATTATGACATCATAAATTGGCCAAAATCTGATCAGCTCATTTTCAGACAGGTTTTTATAGAAATGGATCAGGACAAAAAGTGAGAGAAACTTTCTTCCTGAAACTTTCAGAATCTCTTTACACAGAGGGGACACATGTTGATGTTGAAGAGACATGAAGAAGAGGGGACACATGTTGATGTAGAAGAGACATGAAGAAGAGGGGACACATGTTTATGTAGAAAATACATGAAAAAGTGGATTTTGCATAATAGGTGACCTTAAAAGAAAAGTCTCTCACCACTGTTTACCTCCATTTCTAGATAATTCCCATATGATGATGAACATCACCAGGTTGGTTCTGGTGGTTCTGGTGGTTCTGGTGCTGATTCCTCTGCTCCTTTTCTGTCTCTGGATGAGGTAACTCTGCAAATACATAATCATATCCAGCATTGATATGTTCCCCTGTGTACTGACTCTCAAAGATGGATTTTTATGATCCTTTTATTCATAAATCTGTTTGTTTGTGGATTAAATTCAGGAAGAAGAAGGCTTCGAGCTCCACCACTGAAGCGAATGAACCCATAGAGAATGTGGAGGTGAGACAGTGACAGATCGTACTCTAGCAACTGGTTATTACCTGTTGTTAAATAGGGTCATCTTGAAAATGTGCATTTACCTTAGTAACTACTTTCTTAAAGGATCTGTCAATGTGTATTTACACATTGACAGATCCTACTCTAGAAACTGATTATTACCTGTTGTTAATAAACAAGGTCACAGATCACATATACATTACTTGGTTTCCTAATTTTAGTTTAATATAAAATATAATTATATCCAAATGATGGCCTCTGACTCTCCTCTCGTTGTCTCTCCATCAGTTAGACCCTTTTTCTGAGTATGAGAACGTCTCAGACCTGAACATGGTCTCTGCAGAACAGACAGAAGAACCAGAAGAGCAGGAGGACCTGGTGTGAAGGTCAGCCAGCTCTCACTCAGCTGTATTTATGAAAACAAACCCTACACAACTTCCTGAGAAATAACTCACCAGAACTTTACATGATTTATTTTAGATGCATCAAACCAGATGGAGACTCACCTGGATGAAACAGAAACAAGTGAAACATTGAAGAGGAAACATTTACCCTCAAGTTTCCATGGTGTTAAGTAACAGTAGGTAGGAGTGAAAGCAGTCGGAAACAACATGTAGCAGGAGATGGAGTAAAATGTGTATTTTAATGTAAAGTATATACACACACTTTACTGGAAGAGTGGGGGTGTAAACAGAAATGTGCATCAGCTTACATTTAGCATGCTAACTACTTATCATATGTTCGGCATTCCTTCAATGTGTATATATTTTATAATTAAAATGTCAGGATAAAAGTAAAATTGGGGAAAAAAAGAAAGAAAGACAGTATTTGCACTTATGTCCCCATAAGGGAGGCGAGTCCCCACACGTGAGTCTGTAAACAGATGTAGGTCCCCACAAGGATAGTAATGCTAGGTCACACACACACAGGTTGATTCTTCAAACGCCTTACTTATTGTTGAATTTTGATCCTCATATTAATCCATTCATTCCAACTTTCCAAATATGTATATACGTATAGATATGTGTTATTTTTGTATTACTAAAATGATGCTTACATTTGACTCCTTGTTGTTAACCTGTTAAGCCCGAGAGACCCCGGTACCGGGGCACTGCCGCAACATCTTGAAGGAAACAGTGTCTGAGGGCATGTTCATTTAATAAACTATGAATGTTTTATATCCATGTAACGGGAAGAAACTCATCTAACTGATCATTTTTATTTATTTTTCAAAATAAAACCCACAATGCTAATACTGAGCCTCTGAATTAGCCACGAGCGAAAAATGCTAACACCTTACTGCACCGAAAATCACTCACAAAACCTTATTATTTATCTCTTCTCTACATCCATGACATCGTTTTACATCGTGAGGTGACACAGAATCTTTGGACACCCACATTACCACTGAATTATACGAAATGGCGACGTTATAAGCAAAAACGGACATCAAAACAGGTGACGCTAGGTAGCTAAAAATGCTAACATTTTTACCTTGGCTCTGTAGTCTCTCCAAAGTGGTCTTCAATGGCATTAAAATGATAAAAACGCTGCTGAAGTTAATCCATAGGTTAATCCAATGTGTCTGTGTCCCTTTGAAATGATTTCTGATAATCCATAAGCATTAAAACTGCTTTTCCGTTTCCAGACGTCAGAGATAGGTTCACTCTGATGAAAAATTACATGCGCGAAGCCCCCACCATTTCTCTTCACAATGAGTGTGTGTGGGGGACTCCCCCTTCAATTATATTGGCTCTAACGGTCAGAAAGAGGTGTCAACCATCAAAATCGACCAAGGGGGCAGAGATATGGAAAATCCACCCAAATGACCCCAGAAGTGGTTTCTTTTTGCTAAATCTCTCTAAAAAGGTAAAATGTCACTTGTTTTGCATCAATCTTGATACAGGGTACTTATTATATGTTGTACTTTGGATTCCTAAAGCTTTTAGTCTACCTTACCATCATCCAAGGGTAATTTTCACTAAAAGTACAAAATAATCTTTGGACGGACACTATAATTTACAGTTTTTTACTATGTAAAATCTGAATTTTCTTTAAAATAAAAAACATCTATATTGATTCTGACTTTTCTACATCCAACTCACAGGTTTATCATTACTTTGAGAAAAAAGATTATTAATTTAACCCTTTTAGAAGGGAAGATATGGTCTGATGATATATTTGTTCTGGGAATGTCATTTTCGAGCCTGAGACCTGAAAAACAGGCTCTGGGGCCTCATTTATAAAGGGATATACGCTCAAAAAATGGCGTACGCCAGTTTCTACGCAATGTTTGCGATTTATAAAATACTAACTTGACGGGAAAATGTGCTGTCCTCCACGCAAACTCTAACCCATGCGTACGCACTAAGCACACAAACGGGAGAGACGAGAAACTGCGACACCGTTGGCAGAAGGAAGAATGGAGAGAAATATGTGGAAATAATACCATAAATAAAATGTTACCTCTCATTTATCAAATATGAAGAATTCATTTTCAAACATTGATTAAAGCCAATCTTAAAATGATTAAACAAACGCCTGTTTGAGACTCCTCAGTGCACACAAAAACATAACTTGGAGAAATAAATAAATACGGATATGCTATTTAAAACCACCTTGAATATGTTGTGATAATGTTATGAAATGTTTTCTCATAAATGATGCGGTAAGCAGGAGGACAGAATTACGTCTAAACTGACGCCGTTTTGCATTTCTATAGGTTGTAGATACGAGTTTTATATACTATCACGTTTAATCGTGTTTTATGCCGTTTGCCAAGACTTGATAAGTCGCTCGTAAAACACAGGAGGTATGGAAACTAAGAACACCATATGTGGTAAATTGTACAGCTAATATAACACAATCCATTAGTTGTATTTCCTTTAACTGGTGGATTATGTATATATAGTTGCTGATCGACAGCTGGAACACAAACCACCAAATACAACAAAAATAATTCAGATCCAGTCGTCATGACTCCACTCCGGAGGGATTCCCCGATCATTTCTTACAGTTTCTCATCAAGGGGGTGTCTCCTGTCCCCGGGACAAACACACTGCCTGAGGAAGGTTATGTGTATTTGTTTTGTCATTAACTTTTTTCGGACCACTTATTTATTTATTTTGGTGACGATCCGACCTCCATGCTGCTACTCTGGTTCAAACTGCATCCACCAAACAATATGATTTATCTCGACCTCCCCACAATAACCAAAATCTGACACGGTGTGAGATGTCTTTTTAGCTGTTCTATCGTAATTTCCTGCGATCTTCTTCATGCAGTCAGTCAAAATGAATGAATGAATGGGCGTTTCTTTGACTATGTATAGGCAAATATGGGCGTTACGAGTCGATTGTGATTTATCAAGGGAAACAGGCGTAGGGAGTGCCGTACGCACTTCCCTCGCCGGTACGCAACGTTTTGTGAATCGGAAAATGGCGGAAAATGTATGTACCTATTTTTGTGCTTTGTACTACGTAAGCAACCTTCCTACGTCAATCCTACGCAAGGCGTTATAAATGAGGCCCCAGGGCTTAACAGGTTAAAAAAATGTTTAAGTTCTTCTTTAAACCTAATCATAGATTGTGCCTCAATGTTTAATCAGACATTGAAAATGGGACTGCTATTGGTTTCCTTCTCTTTTTCTGAATTGTTATAGAGTCTAAAGTGTGAACAACTATACAAATGTGACTGAGCTTAATTCTAATCCTTTTTTTTTTAGCTTTTGGTGAAGTAATCTTGCTGTTTTCCATGAGACCAATGTTAGGTTGTCCGTCTGTAATGTAACTGTCTACTGTGCCAGTTTTATCAAGTGAGAGTTAATAAATAAAAATGTAAAAAGTGAAAAATGTCTATGTTAAGCTTGGCTGAATATTCTCTGTATGAATTATATTGATATTAATACTAAAAAATCAACCGTCAGCAGATCCAGTTCAGTCATCATCAGGCATCATTTATAAGACACCAGCAGTTTGTTATTTGCAAATGATTAAAACACAGGATTTCTCACAGACATCTGGACATTTCCATCAGAGTGCGTTCAAAAATATGAACTGTAGAGGGCAAGGGTACATCTTTGAAAAAATACGGTCTTATAAGAGTTTCTGGTAAAGCATCAGAAAGACAGGTTGGTTAGTCACACTTCTACTGAGATCTGTGCACACCCTGCACCTCATACCATAATACTACAGGTGAAGAGCAAATCTAACTGTCGTGGCTCACTTAATTATTTTCTATCAAGCCACTAGATGCCTTAAACAGACATTTCTAACGCGTTTTCTTTCCTTTATACTTGTGTTACTCACAGTTGATGAGTTGCTTGGCCTCCAATGGTTTGGATGATATTTTGCAATGCTCAAAATAAAATAACACACTTTTCACACAAAGAAAACAGGCCTTTACAATAGTCAAAGCAAAAGAGGCAAAACTCAAATAAAAATAACAACTTCGGTATTCTTTCTTGCGTTCTTTCTTTGTTAAGGCTTGTATAACTTCGTAACTTAAAGGGTAGTTGAACGGTTAAAAACTGTTCCTCGACGGCGTCTTTCTGACAGGTTGCCCATCTCTGTCACTCTAGAGGAGGCGCGGTGGGAGTTGTAGTCTTTTATAATGTTTTGACTACGATTAGGTGCCTTTTTTATAAAATACTGGCTCTAACACTAACATTAATGATGATTGTTCACAACAACACCACCATGCACTTTTTCGTTCCTGTTTTTACACACATTGTGGCTTTAAGGACGCCCATGTGCAGCTGTTTGAATGCATTGTTTGTAAAACCATAGCAGGAATAAGTTCTTCATTTTAACCTAAAGCCTTATTTTAGGCATCTCTATTTTCAAACTGAAAAGAGGAAGGGAACCCCTGTTTTTTTTTTAGCACATTGACATAGTAACAGAGGAACCGTCCTATTTCTTCTGTATGTGATACCTGATTTATCAGAGACGAGAGGAGCAGCTATGAGTTTACCAGCGAGAGGATTTGTAGTCTTCCTTCTCTCTACACAAGGTACTGTACATCTCTTTACATTTGAAGGCAGTGAATGCACCTCAGAAATGCAGAAGATTCTAAGTTTATGAAAACAATCTTAATAATGTTTAAAATGTTGATGGTGCACTAGAATTGTGTGTCTTATCTCTTGATTGGTCATGTTACATGTATGTATTTAAGTTCTGGTTTGGTGGGTTCTTTTTGCGATTAGAGGGAATGAGAGTACTTGTCGGTTTTGCATTTATCTAGTTCCCCTGAATAAAGTTTGTTTTCAGTTAAAACATTCATCTGTCTGCACTTGGGTCCACCCTGCGCTGCTCAACCTTAACAATAGGACCGGATTTTTTATGACAATTCAACCTCAAGCCTAAACTCAGTTTAGTCAAATAAAACAACAAGAGGCACTCATGTAGCTCACCTGTTAGAGAAAGCCATGTACAAAAAGGGGGTCCATCCAATGAAGACAAAAAGGTAGAAATAATATAAATATGCAGTAAAACAGTCAGAGTTTTACCATACAAAAGGTTGACGTTATAACATTATTTTACTTTGATGGCGTTGGAGAATATGTAGTTGTGAGAAATGTGGACTAAGCAGCTTCACCAATGAAAATGTGTCTCCTGATGTTGATATGAGTCTGATAATAGTTTCTGGTGTGCTCTGTGTTACAGTGGTTCAGGGTCAGGATGACTGGGGAGTGAAATACACTTCTACTAAATTCTGTGCAGTGAAAGGATCAACAGTGGAAATAAGATGCACCTACACATTCCCATATACATGGAAAGGCAGGGATAACCTAGTTGAGAAAAGATTCTGGTTCACCAAACATGACGGTTGGTATCCTGTAGATCTGACCACAGACTCAGAGTATTCAGGTCGTGTAGAGGATCTCTGTGAAAACAAGATCTGCACTCTGAGAATCAGAAACCTGAGAGAGAGCGACTCAGCTGAGTACTGGTTCAGGTTTGATACCATCCAAGAAGGTGGATCATATATTGGTATACCTGGAGTCACTTTGTCTGTCACAGGTAACACTCATGTTTTATATTTCCAAATGTTCAGTAGCTCAAAATAATATAATTGTGCGGTGTGGTTTTTGCACTCATGTTGAGAGTTTTGTCGTTCCTGTTTCTTCTTCACAGATCCAGATCTCCAGTTGAAGGTGAGCAGAGCATATTCAGACCAGGCAGAGCTGAAGTGTCAGACCAGCTGTCATATACCTGATAATACTTCCTACATCTGGTACAAGAATGGAGAGGAACTTTGGAAAGGAATATCTTACTCTATTTTAGTCAACTTTGGTTCAGCAGACAGCTATTCCTGTGCTTTAAACGGACATGAGAATCACCGTTCTCCTTCAGTGTGTGAGTTCACTGCACTGTTTTAAAGAGGACATTTTATGTTCATTCTCAGTTTCATATTTGTATTTCCTGGCGTTTCTTTGACATGTCTCAATGTTCAAAAAGCTCTTTATTTTTCTCATACTGCCTGTGCTGCAGCACCTCTTTTCACCCTCTGTCTGAAACCAGAGCCCAGTCTGCTCTGATTGGTTATCTGGCCGGCTCTGTTGTGATTGGTCAACCGCTTAGAGATGTGTTTGAGCGCTAGCGCTCTCTGAGAGAAACTCCCTCTGGGAGAACACAGGGATTCTAGCCTTTGCAGACCATTTACATGCACAAAAATCTATATGACACACTGCGTGTCACGATCTGTCTGTGTTGTGTTTTGTCTTGTTTTGATCTGTCTTTGGTTTCCTGTTTTATTTTGAAAAGTGTTCACCCCCTGTCTTGCCTGTTGCTCTCTGTGGGTGTTTCTCAATCGCGAGTAGGCTTGCTTGGTAGAACATGTCTGCCGAGCATCTTGCTTCAGAAGCGAGTCAAGAATACTTCCTGACATTTGGAAAACAAAGAGTGGAACACGCTAGCAAGTGTGCAGGTGTGCGTCATATGAGAGGCCGCGCCTTACATTTTCCGCCACAGATTTTGGAAATTGGTCCGTGCACAAAGCATTGTGGGGATTTTAAGACCGCGGAGTGTATACTCATGTGCAGCCTCGATATTTCTCCAAACGGAGTACGCCGGGCTCGGTAGATTTCCATGTATGCTGGAGATTGGAACAGTACTTCGGCGGCACTCGATGACGTAGTATGCTTGAAATAGTGGCTCTGCAGCAGCTTTACTCGCGATTGAGAAACACCCTGACTCGGGGTGTTTCTCAATCGCGAGTACGCTTGCTTGGTAGCACATGTCTGCCGAGCATCTTGCTTCAGAAGCGAGTCAAGAATACTTCCTGGCATTCGGAAAACGAAGTGTGGAACACGCTAGCAAGTGTGCAGGTGTGCGTCATATGAGAGGCCCCGCCTTACATCTTCCGCCACAGATTTGGGGAAATTGGTCCGTGCGCAAAGCATTGTGGGGATTTTAAGACCGCGAAGTCTACTCATGTGCAGACTCGATATTTCTCCAAATGGAGTACGCCGGGCTCGGTAGATTTCCAAGTATACTGGAGATTGGAACAGTACTTTGGCGGCACTCGATGACGTAGTATGCTTGAAATAGGCAGGACCCAAATGCAGGTTTTACAGGAAAAATACCTTTATTTCAAGGCTAAATAATCATACAGAGCTCTCCCCCGTGAACACAGTCAACAACAAACAAGGATCTAACAATGACAGACAGAAAAACCAGCACTTAAATGCACACAAGACTAATCACACAAACAAGACACAGGTCACACAAGGTGAACACAATCGGGTAATCAGGCAGGAGAGAACACAGAGACAGAAAGCAACAGGCAAGACGGATGTATGTAAGTCGCTTTGGATAAAAGCGTCGAACAAGTAACATGTAATGTAATGTAAAGACGGGGGGTGAACACTTTTCAAAATAAAACAGGAAACCAAAGACAGATCAAGACAAGACAAAACACAACACAGACAGATCGTGACACTGCGGGAAAGAGAAAACCCTAAAAGCATAACAGGGCCTATTTGACATCTTCTGTTTTTGCACTTTGTCATTATCGTTAAGGTTTGCTGCCTCTTCTAGTAAGGGGCAATAAAGACAAGCTAGTTTGATTTTGCCTTATACATTAATAGTTGTATTTCTACACCTTTTCTCCTCCAGATGCTCCGAAGCTCCCCTCTGTGTCAGTGAGTCCCTCTGCTGAGATAGAGGAGGGCAGTTCAGTGACTTTGACCTGTAGCAGTAATGTTAACCCAGCAGCTAACTATACCTGGTACAAGAAGAATGTCTTAATATATTCCAGTGAAGAACATCAGATTGTCTTCAGCTCCATCAATTCCTCTGACTCTGGACAGTATTTCTGTTCAGCTGAGAACGAGCTGGGGAGGAGGACATCTGAAAACATCTTTATTGATGTTAAATGTGAGTCAAACAACTTATTTAACCTGTTAAGCCCGAGAGACCCCAGTACCGGGGCCCTCCCGCAACATCTTGCAGGAAACAGTGTCTGAGGGCATGTTCATTTAATAAACTATGAATGTTTTATATCCATGTAACGGGAAGAAACTCATCTAACTGATCTTTTTTTTTTTTTTTTCAAAATAAAACCCACAATGCTAACGCTGAGCCTCTGAATTAGCAATGAGCGAAAAATGCTAACAGATTAATGCACCGAAATTCACTCATAAAACCTTATTATTTATATTTTCTGCACATCCAACACATCGATTCACATCGTGAGATGACACAGAATCGATGGGTACATACATTATCACTCTATGATATGAACTCGCGACTTTATAAACAAAAACAGACATCAAAACATGTGGCGCTAGGTAGCTAAAAACGTGGTTAACATGGTTTACCTGTGTCGTAGTCTGGTCAAAAGTGGTCTTCAATGGCATTAAAACGATAAAAACGCTGCTGAAGTTAATCCATAGGTTAATCCAATGTGTCTGTGTCCCTTTGAAATTATTTCTGATAATCCATAAGCAATAAACCCTGCTTTTCCGTTTCCAGATGTCAGAGCGAGAGATAGGTTCGCTCTGATGCAAAACTGCATGCGCGAAGCCCCCACCTTTTTTTTTTTTACCATGTGTGTGTGTGGGGAAATTCCCCTTCGAATCTATTGGCTCTAACGGTCAGAAAGAGATGTCAATCACCAAAATCGACCAATGGGTTCCAGAGAAACGGTAAAACCCCCATTTCCACCCAAATCACCTCAGAGGTGGAGTTTTTTTTGCTAAAAAGGTCAAATGTCACTCGTTTTACATCAATCTTGATACAGGGTACTCATTATATGTTGTACTTTGGATTCCTAAAGCTTTTAGTCTACCTTACCATCATCCAAGGGTAGTTTTCACTATAATTAAAAAATACTTTTTGGACGGACACTATAATCTACAGTTTTTTACTATGTTCAATCTGAATTTTCTTTAAAATAAAAAACATCTATATTGATTCTGACTTTTCTACATCCAACTCACAGGTTTATCATTACTTTGAGAAAAAATATTATTAATTTAACCCTTTTAAAAGGGAAGATATGGTCATTTGTTCTGGGAATGTCATTTTCGAGCCTGAGACCTGAAAAACATGCTCAGGGCTAAACAGGTTAAAGGTTGAATCTGTCCATTTATGGCAAGGGAAGGTTGTACTGGTCATTACTACTTTTTCAGCTCTATTATTTTATGACTGAGTTGTGTTACCACTTCTCCTCCAGATGCTCCAAAGCTCCCCTCTGTGTCAATGAGTCCGTCTGCTGAGTTAGAGGAGGGCAGTTCAGTGACTCTGACCTGTAGCAGTGATGCTAACCCAGCAGCTAAATACACCTGGTACAAGGAGAACCAAACAGTGTTTCAGGGAGTAGAAGGAAGTTATAAATTCAGCTCCATCAGCTCTGAGGACAGAGGGATCTACTACTGCAAGTCTGAGAATCAATATGGAGAGATCAACTCTACGTCTCTATTTGTAGATGTCCAGTGTGAGTAAAAAATAAGTGAGTTTTCCAGTAGGCGCCACTAAAGACAACCTAGTCTTTCTCATGTAAATATAACTATTTCTACATCTTTTCTCCTCCAGATGCTCCAAAGCTCCTCTCTGTGTCAGTGAGTACCTCTGCTGAGATAGAGGAGGGCAGTTCAGTGAATCTGACCTGTAGCAGTGATGCTAACCCAGCAGCTAACTACACCTGGTACAAGGATGAAACTTCATACTCTTCTATTCTGAATGAAGAACCACAGTTTGTCTTCAGCTCCATGCAGACCTCTGACTCTGGAGAGTATTTCTGTTCAGCTGAGAACACGATGGGAAGGAGGACATCGGAAAAGTTGTTTATTGATGTGAAATGTGAGTGAAACAGTTAATTCAAGGCGCTCCGAAGCCAGCGAAGAGATATAATCCCTCCACCTGGTCCTAGATCTGCCCCTCGGTCTCCTCCCAGCTGGACGTGCCTAGAACACCTAGGGAGGCGCCCAGGTGGCATCCTTACCAGGTGCAGCGGTTCAACTCCGAGTCCCTCCCAGATGACTGAACTTCTCAACTTATCCCGAAGGGAGACGCCAGCCACCCTACCAAGAAAACCCATTTCGGCCGCTTGTATCAGCGATCTCGTTTTGTTTCGGTCATGACCCACCCTTCATGACCATAGGTGAGGGTAGGAACGAAAATGGCCCGGTAGACAGAGAGCTTTGCCTTCTGGCTCAGCTCTCTTTTCGTCACAACGGTGCGGTAAAGCGACTGCAGTACCACTCCCGCTGCTCCGATTCTCTGGCCCATCTCACGCTCCATTGTTCCCTCACTCGAGAACGGTTAGGTTTTAACCCAAGATCAGTTTCCTGCTGTTAACCATGGCCTCAGATTTGGAGGTGCTGATCCTCATCCCAGCCGCTTCACACTCGGCTGCGAACCAATCCAGTGAGACTGATCATCTGCAAAAAGCAGTGGTGGAATCTTTAGCCCACCGAACTGCAGACCACCTCCCACACGACCACGCCTTGAAATCCTGTCCATGAATATCACAAACAGGATTGGTGACAAAGCGCAGCCCTGGCGGAGGCCAACCCTCACCGGAAATGGGTCTGACTTACTGCCGAGGACCCGGACACAGCTCTCGCTTTGGGAGTACAGAGATTGGATGGCCCTGAGTAGAGACCCCCTTACCCCATACTCCCGCAGCACCTCCCACAGTATCTCTCTGGGAACCCGGTCATACGCCTTCTCCAAATCTACAAAACACATATAGACGGGATAAGCGTACTCCCAGGCCCCCTCCAGGATCCTTGCGAAAGCTGATCCGTCGTTCCACGACCCAAACTGAAGTGTTAAACAATACAACCAATATGTAAGACCAGACCAAGTTTAAAATGCAGCTACACAGTAAAAATATAACAATAAGTATGACCCGATTGTGAGCACCTCCGCTCACTCCCAGGTTAAAAAGGACAGAAGGAGAAGGATATATATCATGGGTTTTATTGTCCAAAATGATCATGCGCCACTCAAATAGTGCAGACGCTGTGAAATCCTCACAGGAACCAGCCTACTGCAAGACAGACCAGAATCAGGTTACCGGCATGCTTCTTATAGAGAGCATAATTACCTGATTCTGATCAGCTGTCTGGTCTCCGGCCGAGCCACTCCCATCACTCCAGCAGCCGGCACCCTAACCACACCCCTAACCACATACCCCCACCGCCCGACTCAGGTCGGGATCCCGCCGGCCGAAAGCTGACCCCCCCCCCCCCTCATCAAAAGTTGTGTTCAATGGCATGAAAATGCATAAAACGCTGCTGAAGGTTAATCCAATGTCTCTGTGGCACTTTGAAATGATTACTGATAATCCATCATCATATTTATGGCAAAAAGCGTAGTTTTCAGTTTTCAGAGCGTAACATAGCTTTCGGTTTGGGTACTGCGTGCGCATCACTCTCACTCCTCAATGGTAACATGTAGGTGGAATTAGGAACTTCTCTCTCAATTCTATTGGCTCTAACGGTTAAAAAGAGGTGTCAATCACCAACATCGACCAATGGGTTCCAGAGAAAAGACAAATACACCCAAATGACCCCAGAGGGTTTTTTTTTTTCTAAACCTCTCAAAAAGGGATACATTTTTTCACTTGTTTTACATCAATCTTGATACAGGATACTTATTATATGATATAGTTTGGATTCCTAAAGCTTTTTATCTACTATCCCATCATCCAAGGGTGGTTTTCACTATAAGTAATGTTTTTTTTCTGGACGGAAACTATAATTTACATTTTTTTACTATGTTAAATCTGAATTTACTGTAAAATAAGAAATTCTATATTGATTCTGACTTTTTTCTACATCCAACTCACAGGCTTATAATTGCTTTGAGAAAAAAGATTATTAATTTACCTCTTTTAGAAGGGAAGTTATAGTCATTTTTTCAGGGAATGTCATTTTCGAGCCTGAGACGTGAAAAACAGGCTTCAGGCTTCACAGGTTAATTAAATGCATTATTTCATTTGCATTATGCATATTTAGGTTAGTTGGGACCAAATATATTTAGTTAAACCTTATATTTTGAATTTCAACGTAATATTATTGCATTCAATTAACCTGATACAATTATGTGAAATCTGTTGACATAATACATTTAATGAAAGACAACGTTTTAGTTTTTTAAGTGCTGCTTCTTTAAACTCCTCACGCGGTCTAACCTTGGTTCAAAGAAGCCAAACTATTTTAGGAATATACAGAAAGAGGACGTTTTTTTATATACACATTTGTTTTATATACACATTTGTTTTATATTAACACCATCATGCAGTCGAAACAGATTTGGTTTTCAGTCTACGACGCAAGTTGTGTAATCTTTCTGCTGTTCTGGTGTCGATGGGCAGCTCGTTCTACCATTTATTGAACCAGGATAGCAAACAGGCGTGTTTTTGTTCAAGGTTCCAGTTAAAGTATGTTAAAGAAAAGTATCTCACCACTGTTTACCTCAATTTCTAGATAATTCCCCAATGATCATGAACATCGCCAGGTTGGTTCTGGTGGTTCTGGTGGTTCTGGTGGTTCTGGCACTGATTCCTCTGCTCCTTGTCTGTCTCTGGTTGAGGTAACTCTGCAAATACATAATCATATCCAGCATTGATATGTTCCCCTGTGTACTGACTCTCAAAGATGGATTTTTATGATCCTTTTATTCATAAATCTGTTTGTTTTTGGATTAAATTCAGGAAGAAGAAGGCTGTGAGCTCCACCACTGAAGCGAATGAACCCATAGAGACTGTGGAGGTGAGACAGTGACAGATCGTACTCTAGCAACTGGTTATTACCTGTTGTAGGGTCATCTTGAAAATGTGTATTTACCTTAGTAACTACTTTCTTAAAGGGAACTACCAATGTATATTTACACATTGACAGATCCTACTCTAGAAACTGGTTATTACCTGTTGTTAATAAACGAGGTCACACGTCACATACAGGGGCGGCGGGTACTGTAAGATAGGCTAAGCCTTCCCAAATATTTTTGTCCCTGCATCCTGGTCAAATTAAAATATAATGTATAATGTTTGTGTCTTTGGCATTAGCACTGCTATGCAGCCATCAGTGCCCTGTACTACGAAGCCAGTTCAACCCTGGATATGTTTGAGTTATCTTAACTAACCCTAACAAACGCGATCTCGCTAAGCGGTCCTACGACGCTGGTTATCACCTCAGTAAATCAACCCAGGGTTTCTCTGTCCGGCTGAGAGCGTGTTCAAGGGGCGTGTTCAAAAAAACGAGTGCCTGTTTTTTCTGAGGTCAGGGTCCTTGAACACAACACAAGCCTAACGTGTCATCACGTGGTATATGTCTCGCCTGACAGGGGTGTAGTTCTGACGGAGAGCACCAGAACACCGCTCCGGCATTCACAAATTGCAGTACCCATAAGGAGCCGTACACATGCCGCAGTTTTTGCGTGGCTGTGTCTTAGTTGAAAGCCCATTGGCGATCTGTTCATCTGTCATACTGATCATACAGTCACTAACTTCTTTGTTATTAGCATCTGGTTAGCTAGCTATGCTAACAAATATAAGAAGCTTTTTCTCCAACCAGTGAGGTATAGGCACATCTTTATATGATCATTATAGTTATAAAAAAGAGAGATGTTGAGAGATGTATCCATAGATCTCTTAATTGTCCTCTCAAAGTGCACAAGATTGATGCTTATAACTTCAACATTTAAAAAAAAACTCAAGGGGTTAGGTCCCCCCCCCCACTTAAATCATGTTCACATGGATAGGAAACTAAATTACACACATCTTTTGTCCATATCTTTATGTTTTGGTGGTCATGCCACAACCGTGCACATGGATTAAGAGGTTTCTTTTTCTTTGCACAGCATGAAAGAAAGGCCAAATGAATGGGCTGTGATTTTAGTATTTTTAAACAGAGGTCAATCATTTGTACGGCCCTCGGAGGATGTTGTAAAAATTGAAATGGCCCTTGAGAGGAAAAAGGTTCCCCACCCCTGACTTAAACACATAATCCAGGGGACTGCCAATGTCCGCACCGCTGTGTGTGAGACGTGGAAGGAGGGAGGGAGGGTAGAGAGAGCATCGGAACTTCACAGTCTAATCTCCCGGCCTGATATTTTTATTTTGTATTCAATCAATATATTTTTGGAAAGGGAAACTGTGCGCAAACAGCAGTGGATATATATTCATTTATTTTACAAAAAAAGGGGGAAAAAAGGGCACTTTCTCTGGAGGAAGAAAAAGGGCAGGGGCTCAAATCCACTTTGATGTCTATGTGTGCACGTGCCTGATCCAGGATACAAGCCACATAGTTACACCTGCAAGGTGAATAGAGAACAGCTGGTTAAAAAATAAATAAACTACCGAGTGGTTGAATGCGTACATTAACAGGTTTATGATATCACTGCCCCATCTTAGACACGAGTGGATCTGACTTTGAGTTGAGTGTTTCGTCAACTTCATGTGTTGCTTAATATGTAGGCCTATGTGACACTGT